TATGTATCATTTGTGTTGTTTTTGTATGCGTGGTGAGTGGAAAGAAGAGGATAATTTTATAAAAAAAAAGGAAAAATTTCAGATATATTTTACGTTATGGTTCATAAATATTCAGCTAGGCAAGAGATTTTCAACTCCCGGTACTTATAGACTGGCTCAACAGTTTCAGGTCAAGGAGAATATTCGTCATATTATGGCAAGTTTCTAAAATTGAAAAAAATTGAAGGATAAACGTGACCTAGAAAATTCAAAAAACTAGGTCGTGACCTAGAAAATAAAAATTAGGTCGTGACCTAGATAATTCAAAAATAAAGTCAATTTTGAAACCATTTTTTTCAGCTAGCCCGAAATATAATCTGTTGCGCTACATTTTTTGTCGCTATTGCATGTGGATTGCTCATTACAATTGTGCTCGATTTGCTCCCAATTTGGCTCAAAAACCCGGTAGCACATTGTATAGAAAATTGCATATTTTTGTAAGGAAGTCTTATCTAAAATATAGATAGAGCAACAATTTCCAGAAACCCTTTGCTCATCTGTTCTGTGGCAATAATCAGTGTACCCTCATGGAAAAAGGAGTTTATTGAAGGAATTCCGTTTTTGAAGAAAATTCGAAATGAGCCGAAAAATTCACAAAGTGTGTTGAATCCGGAAGATGAGACGAGAGAATACTTCAATCAGTTGAGAAATGCATGGCTGTGAAAACCTTGAATAAATATGTTATAGTCTTATTTTTCCACTATTTAAGGGCCATCAGTAAACTACAGAACTCTAATTTATAGCACCGGTCAATAAGATGTAAAAAACTTACTTTTAGTTAATTTTTACAGATTTTTTCCTAATGAGTATGAGCACTACGATATTCAGATGACTTTGATTTTTGCCACCTGGACCATGGGGGTCAAAAATCGACTATTTCAGAAATAGGGCATTTTTATACTCATTCAGAAGCTGATAACAAGGCAAACTCAAAAATATAGGATTCATGAGATTTGAAGCAAAACTGAACAAGTTAGGAACCTTACAAAAATAACGAAATTTAAAAAATTTCCCAAAAGGCTCAAAAATTGCCCTTTTATTCAAAACGAGCAAAAGAAGGATGTCTTTCAGAAATCAGGAAATAACTCAAGCATTAGAAATTTTCAAAAAAATTTGTGAATGCAAAGTATTCAATTTTGATCTGTTTTACACCCTACAAATTTTCAAAGTGATCGGAAGCTTGACAGCCGGGTTCCAGGCTTCTGAAAATCCATCTCAAAACGTGCAAATCTGTCCAAAAACCAATTTTCTAGCTCATCCCGAACACGAGAAACGGTTATTTGAAGTTTCCAAGGGCTAGAGAACGCAGCNGTATCTCGTCGTCTGTCGTCTCTAGCCTCCTAAGCTTGAAGGCGCTCTATCTCGGTTCCTAGAAGCGCTAGAAATGTGATTTTTAGACAGAATTGTAGGAAATTTTTTCTATTTTTGGCTAGCTGACTAACGTATTTTTCATAAGTTACAGAAAATAGTCAAAATTAAAAAAGCAACACAAAAATACGTTTTGGAAGTTGCTGTGCATACATTTTTGAGGGGTTTTTTGGATCTCGAAGAAATTATACTCTTTCCTAAAAAATCCAGACACCAGGAAGAAATTTTTAACTACATACCAATTTCCCTTCTAAACTAGACTTGCGTTTTCCAATCACAAAGTTCCCAATAAATAACAAAATCCCCAACAACCAAAGGTTGCCTTGTTTTCAATATTCTTTCAGCACACACACACAACATCATTTTAAATTCTACCAAGAATCAAATATTTTCAAAATATCAGAAGACAGAAACATTTGTCTGTGTCTCTTCATCACTCCATCTTCCGCTTGACAACATTTCTCAAAACTTTTCAAAAAGGCCTGCAATTATCTTGACAGCTGAAATTTCTTGAATTTTCTGTGAGCGTTTTAGACTTCTTATTTTTCTGAAACGACGATTTTTTCCATCTGAAACTTCTCAACTGATTAAGATAAAATGATATTCCTTATCAATGGAACTTATGAGCTTTGGGTGGCGATTCCAATCCTAAACAAATCTCTCTACACTTCTTGGAAATATCCATATGTCTTGACTCTTGACACCTCCATATTTATAATCACTATTCTCCTTGTCATGCGTGCTGTCTCAATCATTCGAACATCAAAATCCTTCCATATAAATCTCCGAATAATCCTAATTTTCCAACTCTGTCAATGGGTTCAAATCTTGCTCGCCCGCTACTTCCTATTCCCATATCTCGTTGGATATCGATTTCTTGGAGATCACCGTAAACTTTATCATCATTTTTGGACAGATAGTCTAGAGGAAACTGTTCCCATTCCATGTGTTATTGAGGAATGGCCATTGTTCTTTGGTGGATTTTTGTATACTCATCATTTTGCCTCGTGCATATTTTTCCTGTTCTCGGTGTCTGCTGAAAGGGCAATAGCGTCATTTTATTTGAGGTAAATATCCTTAAGGTTGACGATGAAGATGTTTTGCGTTTAAGGGGGTTTTCATGGAGGAAGTAATTTTCATGTATTGATCTTGTTCATTATTGAAGAACTACGTAATAGATACGAAAAAATCAGCTGTTAGAGAGTGGAAAATCAGCTGTTAGAGAGCACATACATAAAATAAGAAGCAAAAATTTTGAAAACCTCTAAATCTCTTTGTACTAATGCAAATTCTCTAATAATAACCCAAAAATTGAATTTTTAGTTGAATTACCAAATTTGCTCTAGAATGTCACCCTATACTTTGAGCTCAATTATTTCGGTTCCTATATATATATCAAAAATTTGTCAAATTTTAAAATGTTGGTGATATTATAAAAAAATCTTTTGTCAGTTAACAGGGTTTTTGATATCTTTTACAGAAGCTGAGATAATTGAGTTCAAAGTGTAATGCTCTAATACAAGCCCACCCTATACGTGCACTTGGAGGCTAATTATCTCGGTTCCTATCAGGGATATAAAAAATTTGCCAACGGATAAACTAGTGATAATGTTTAGAGAAACATTTTATCAGTTAACTGATTTTTGATATTTCTCACAGAAATTGAGATGGTTGCAGAGTCGCGATCGTGATTTTGGATGAATCTATTAAAGGGGGGCTCCGAGCAATAATTTTTATTGCATTAAAATGTTCGAAAAGTTGTTTATTTTCCCAATATTATAGTGAAAAAAAATCGGAAAAAAAAACAGAAATCCCCGAAAATGCCGTTAAAAGCGGAAAATTTTCAAAAAAAAAGTTGCTAGGAGGGATGAGGATTTGAATTCCCGCGCAGTGAGAAACCTAGGCCACGGCGCCAGATAGCCGTTTTTTTTCAAGTGGCCGACAGTGGTTTTTTTTTACGTTTTTTACCTACCGGACATGAAAACCGAAAAAATCCGGAAAATTATCCATGTAAGAAAGGCGCTATGATGCCGTGGTATAGGTTTCTCACTGCGCGGGAGTTCAAATCCTATTTTTCTTCAACGCCGTTTTTTGGTGATTTAGGATTTTTTTTTTGAATTTTTTCGCAATAGTATTAAGAAAATACATATTTTTTTGAAACATTTTAAGGCGGTCGGAGTCGCCCTTTAAAAAATCGAAAAATTGGAAGGTTTCCAAGAAGGCATTATTTGACATCCTGAATAAAAATCAAGCTTAAAAACACAAAATTGTTATAAATTGAAATCTTGGGTGACTCAAAAATGTCCGCTGCTGTCCGATGGCTCTGGAAACGTTTTGAACGAAAATCTAGAATCGGTTGTTTTGATTGTCAGATACTTTTGTTGCACTGTTGAATATCTAGAAACTAACATTATCTTTAGAGCCCCAAAAACCCACATCTCAGAGCTTGTGCAAAAATTTCCTATCTCTATGGCGCAGACTGATTTTTTAAAGTGTGTCGCACAATCACCCGGACTGAATCAAATGTATATCTTCAGACATACATATCTTGGAAGCCTGAAAATTTGTAGAAATATAATTTTAGGTTTGATTTTACGCTACTGAAATTTTCAAAGCAAGGTCCAAATTTAAGTCCAGTACAAACTTTAGTTCTGGTAATCATGCGCCACTTTGCTTTTCGGATACTGTACTTTTAAAATCGCTCAAAATAACACTACGTGTCAAACCTCGAGACAAAAACCAAAAGATTATTTGACCGGAAAACAATACTCATTCATCCAAATCCCCCTGTTTCAGCGACTACGAGAAAAACACGCGTCCCTACATCTCCTTCATTATAATCTTCGTTTCAATGATCTTCTCTTCCATCTACTCGTTGATCTTTGCATTCAACTTCTTCACATTTCTAGTAACCTCTTTTTTGATTGCTCTTGTTACAATTGCATCAATCAGTTTGTACGTTTTCGTCTATTATTATAACACAAGAGTCAAAAAAGTGACATGTAACAAAAATGGAAAGTACACATTAACCAGAAGGTTTCAGACGATGGAAAACTTGAAATCGTTGAAGGTTAGTCTGAAATTAAAAGTGGAATTAAAGGTTAGAAAGTGCAAATTTCCTGAAATTTCAGATGGCAAAATACGTGGTCACAACACATGCAATCTATGTAGCTCTTTGTGAAATTTGTCTGCTTTGTGTCTATTTTGGAGTGGAATCCAGGTACTGGGAAATCTTCATCTATATCATGGACTCCGTTGTTTTTTAGTGAGTTTTCATCTTTGAGATATTTCTAGAAGATCACATTTTTTTAGCAGTCACAGTGTCATTGTTCTGACTGTGTTATTCTCGGTTCCAACCTGGAAACAAGCATTTCTGCGTCCACTTTTCGCTTTTAGAAGAATGCAATCCAATAAAGTG